CAGGGGGTCTCCTCACCCAGCCTACCAGACCCCCACCCCATCCCAGACCCGCCCGGCCCCCCAGATGAGCCAGGTGGCCCCCCACCCCCTGCAGTTTCTCCCCAGGGGAGCACTCGGCAGCGGGCAGATCAGCCACCGCCCACCAGGGGCCGTGCAGGTCCCACTGGTCCTCGCTGGCTGGGAACGGCCGGGCCTTCTGCTCGCGGCCTGTGCACATGGGCTGGTGCAGTCAGGTCAGTGGAGACTGGGGGAGATGGAGGGGCAGCAGCAGGAGGGCCAGGGAGAGGAGGGGAGGAGAGGGAGGGTACAAGGGCAGGGGGGGAGGGGGAGGAGGGAGACCCTCCCAGCCCAGGTCCCGAGAGCCTTGGAGAGGAGGGCAGGTCCTGGCACACACAGGAGGAAGAGCCCCTTCCTTTCCGGGCGCTCCCTGAGTACACCCGGTCCACCCTGGCCAAGAGCAGGCTGGGCGGCTCTGTCTGCTGCCCCCTGGTGGGGGCCTGGAGGTGTGCAGCTGTCAGCAGGAGCGGTCTGCCGCCACTACCTCTGTACTCAGGGGTGCAGCAGCCATTTGCAACACCTGGAGGCGGTCAGCCTCTCCTCACAGTGGGCTGACCGCCAAAGGCCAGGAGACCGTGTCCACTGGTCCAGCCCAGGAGTGCCCGGCTCCCACCGCGCGGCTCCCAGACGGCAGCTCAGGCCTGGGGCTCGCTGTGGAAGGGGGCTTTATGGGGAAGGACCCAATGGCCAGAAATACAGCGCCCTGCCCCACAGGCCCCAGAGGCCCAGAGCCATGGCCCTCGCTGCCCAGGCCGTGAGCGCTCTTGCTGGGTGGGCGCTGACCAGCGTCCAGAGTGCAGAGGCTGTTCCGGGGTGACCCTGCCTCAGGGAGGGAGGGCTCTAGGGAGCAGAAGCCAGGATCTCCATCACAACAAAGACCGGGGACAGTGGGCCGGGGCGGAGGGAGGAGCCAGCGAAGGGCCGGCCTGCCTGGGGAGGCCCATCAGCACGTGTCCAGGAGGAAGGGGGAGGGACAGGCCCGGTGTGGATGGCGTGTGCACTCCTGTGGCCGTGGCCGAGCAGGGCAGAACACGGCAGGCATGGTGGTGGAGCCAGCGAGCCTGGGACCCTCCCCGGGTTCTCCCTCCAGGAGGTGGAGGGAAGCCTGGGTGACCGATGCTGACCATGGCAGTCGGGGACTTTCTCTGCCGACCTGGGCCTGTCCGGGCAAACCAGGCTGAGTGTCCCCGTGAGGTGGGACTGGAGAAGTGGAGACAGCGGAGAGGTGGCCCAGGGCCAGCTGCCTCAGACCCCCAAGGGGAGGGCTAGGCCCCAGCTGACAGCCTCAGGCTATGGCAGGCGTGAGCGGGTGGGGGGCGGGGGAGGAACCACACTGGGCGGTGAGCGCCGAGGACACTGCCAAGCCCTGGTCACCGACAGACAAAACACCTGAGCACAGGGCCCTGGCGGTGCAGACGGTCAGCCTCGTGATGGACAGCAGACAGGGAACCCTCCGCGTGGAAAAGCCAGAGCCCGCCCTGCGCACCTCCGTCGGCGCGTGTGGAGGCTGTGCGCTAGGAGGAGGGTCTGCTGGGCTGACCGCACAGCCCCCCGGCCTCCTCCCAGGCACCGGGCCAGAGGGGCCGCACACTCACCTCCATCTCCGAGCTGTGCGCGTGCACTTTCTGCACCATGTCCTCGGCCTCGCGCATCCGTCGGGTCAGCTGGGGCGAGTACTCGGCCGGGGTCAGCTCGCTGTCGTAGGACCCCAGGATGGCGCGCATTCCGTCTCGCTCCTGTGGACACACGGCAGGGGTCAGGCCCAGGGGGCAGGGGCTGGGACGTGACGTGGAGGGACAGTGTGATGGGCAAGGAGGAGGATGCGCCCAGGATCAGGTGGGCCCCACAGGCTCCTCAGAGTCCACGCCGACACAGCAGCTCTGGCTCATGCAGGCCTAACGGAGCCCATCCTGGCCACGACGGGCCCTGCTGCTCGGAAGGTGGGCCCACCCCGGCCAGTGCCCGGGAAGCCTTGGCTGTGTGGTCTGCTGCTCGCTCTGACCACCTGGCCGTGGGCTGCAGTGGTCAGAGACCCACAGCAGAAGGTCTCTATTGGTCACAGCCAGGGCCCGGCCTAGTGTGACTTCTGCATCCCTCAATGAGGCCCAGGAAATCCCCCGTGGGGCCAGGCTAGCAAGTGGTTTGAGTTCTTTGCCTCCCGTGACCCCTGACCTTCGGCCCAGTAACAGCCGGATTCCCGGAGGGAGAGAGCCCCGTCGGTAGGGAAGCAGCAGGCCCCCAGGTGGACCGAGAACCCGACAGCACTCCCACCTGCCCACAGCGCTCAGAGGGCCTCAGCAGCTTCTCATGCGCCTTCGGGCCACACGCACGCACAGGCCCCGACGGCCACACCGAAGCTGCAGGAGCGACCGTGCACCAGCCTCGCCCAGGCCAGCACGGCCGGGGAGGAGACCCGCAGGCCCGCGCTCCCTCCGCCTCAGCCCC